CCCAACCTAAACATGTGCACTAAAACTAAGGACATCCACTGGTTTTGCCCAAGCAACCCCTTTATTAGGGATGTCACCACCTACCTCTGTGGTTTGAGGACTGACTCTCTGAACAGAAATGTCAGGGTAGTATGTCTACACGAGACGAGGAACCCGAAACCAAAGTAGAAAGAGCAGGATATCGGTGGCTCGTCAGCACGCCTGTCACCAAAGTTTTCATGTCTTACGACCGCCATGATACAGTCACTAAATTAACTTTACCAAATCAGACAGTCTTCATGACTGTCCCCCATGGGAGCCACTGTGCACATTAATGACATTGTCCTCCATCACCTCGACCCATCCCGGCATGACACGGAGATCGAGATTATGGACGCATTTAAGGGTTACAATCTCACACTTGACACAACCCTGTAACAGCAACTCAGAGCTGGGGGGACTAAATTGATTCAGTTCAGCCTTAAACCGACTGGACTCACCACCAAATTTAGTCAAATGATTAGGCCGGTACCTAGACAAAGCCAGGCTATTAGTGAGATTGCACTAGGGTTCCTGCTTAGTGGCTGGATTATCACAGCCGTGGTGGCGTATATGTAATGTATAAATACATTAGGAAACTGCAGGCCAAACTAGACTCAATCATGCTCCTCCAGCCGCGTTTCACACAGACTAAGACCACGCCACTGGTAGACTCCGGGCTACTCTAGGAGTAAGTCCTAAAAGCCTCATTTGAGTGATTCACTGAGATCACAAAGACCTAAAAGGACTCTTTATCCCAGAATCCCCTGCGGTACTTCACACCTACGTGTGATGTAAAGGGGGGACCGAAACCTGAGGGAGACCCCACAGGAAGGCGGCCAGGTGACAAAACTCTTGAGACTTCCATTGCTCTCTCTCTTTCCATGCGCTGACTTCAAGTGTTCGGAGACACAAGCTCACCTCCTGTTTCCTGCAACAATCTTCCTTTGTTTTAAGTTTTGGCGCGCAGGTAATCCGCGGCCGGCAGTGTTCTGAATTCCGAGCTCGGATTGTGCAGTGAACGCATCTTAGTTTCTCAGAGAGCGTCAGACTACAACAGATTATCAGAACGATAACGGTCTTATTCCGTCCTGCAACAAAAGGACATCAATGGACATCTCTCCACTCGATGGAGAACCAACGAAGCCGCTCTTGCTGTAAGGGAACCTCGCTGCCATCAGACGCCTCTGCACCAGGACGGACAGAAGATCTGCTCCATCGCCGGACTCTTTCCCTTTCACCAATCGCGGGCAAAGCGATTCACAAGTGAGGCTTAATTAGGTCTGGGCAGAATTAGCTTTAGAGAGTGTTTTTATCAATTGTTTGATTGATGCAGAAACTGTAATTTTTATCTTTGAGTTTTACCTGTTTAAAACTCTTGCTGTTCCCGTTTCGGACCGCTGCGTCCTATATGTGTTTAGCGTAACAGCGTTATAACCGGGTATTACTCGTCTGATCAGAAAGGCCAGTGTAAGCCGTATTAACTTGAATTCGGCCATTGGTTTGTTTCTGTGAATAGAAGGGAATTACTCCGAGTTGTGGCACGGGATTCGGACTGTGATCTGGCCTCTTCCGGCACGCATTTCTCTCCTCCTCTACTCTCCTCTTTTCTCCCCCTGTTACTAACTCCACCACCGCGCCATTACGCACATAGGCTACACACACACACACACACACACACACACACACACACACACACACACACACACACACACACACACACACACACACACACACACACACACACACCTTCCACAAGCCTTGCTTGATAATGTTTGTTGCTTAGATTAGTTTATGATAGTTATTTGTTTGATTCATTGTTCATTGATTTGTATTGGTGTTGCTTTGCTTAAATAAATTCTGTTATAATTTAAGAGAGCAGTTGTTTGTGATTACTGGTTGTATTTGCATTGTGATATAAGCTGGATGCGAAGGCTTTGTGTACGGATTTCACGCCTTCAATTTATTAAATATAGTTATTAATTATTAATAAAATTAGTAATTAAATAACTAATTTGAGACTGATTTGAGTGATATTTTGGTTATATTTCCCTCAAAACAGGGTGGTGCCCCAAAACAGGATTAAACATAGTTTAATTATATTTTATTTATATTATTAATAATTAAATATAATTATTAAAGAATATAACCAAAGTTGACTTGATACAACCCCAACAGCCTCTACCATCAGTGTGTGAACGTGTGTGAGTGGATGAGTTAATACTGACGGACTCTTAACCCAGCGGCCTCTACCATCAGTGTATGAATGTGTGTGAGTGGATGAGTTAACACTGATGGACTCTTTACTCAGCAGCCTCTATCATCAGTGTGTGAATGTGTAGGTGTGCCTTTAAATGTTCTTTAAATAGAGAAGACTGGAAAAGCGCTCTACAAGCTCAAGTCCATTTATCCACACTGACAAATGTTTAAATCCAGTGATTATGAAGGATTGACTCAGCTCCACATTCTGCTGACTCTTCTTTAAGCTCTCGGTTATGTCTATTTGTCTCAATATAAAAAGGTGTAGTATAGAAATGCTGACTTTAACAAACGGCCACTGAGTCACGGCTCCAGTTTGGTTTGATACTGGTAATGGTAATAGTAATAAGAAAGACTCAGTTTAAAAACTGTTTTCCAGCAGGTTCCTGTTCTGCGGAACATGAAACATAAACCACAGTCAGGACACATCAAGACAAACACATTTACAGGACATTAGCATGGGCTAGGCAAATACAGACAAATAGAAACAAACAGTACAGATACTGCGAACAGTACATGAACAATTAATGAGTGCAGGTGTAAGTGTGGAGAAGGTGTCGTTTGTATGTATTTTTGAAATATGAGGTAGATGGTAAAGTTTTAATGTGATGGAGAATGTCATTCCAAATTTTGGTGTATGTATAAAAGAAGGACTTCTGACCATAGTTGTTTTTATATGCAGGGACTGGGATGAGTGCCTGTGAGACTGACCTAGTGAGGCGCACTTGTCTCATATTATGTGTCAGTAGAAGTGCAGCAAGTGTTGGTGAAGTGCTGTTTTTAATCTGAAAATAGTATGTAATAGCATGGCTGTGTATGTAATTCTGGAAAGCCAAGGCGTTGGAACTTGAGTGCAGAGCAATGCTGTGACCATTTTGGGAGGTTACTGTGGCTCTTAAGAGCTCGATAGTACAGTCGTGCTATTGGTTCAGTAATCTCCTTAGTGGTAAGTGATCAGATTGGAAGACAGTAGGAAATTGATGAAAACACAATTGCATGTAGGTACGTTTCAGAAACAGAGAGATATGATCTGATCTTATTATACACATAAAGTTTCTGACTCAGCTTAGTAGTTAGTTTAGAGGTGTGTTCACGGTATGTAAGATCTGAATCAAGTAGCACACCAAGATATTTGTAGGTCTTTGTGATGGCAAGATCTTGGCTTCCAAAGGTGATGGGATCAGTGAATGTAATTCATTTTCTGGGGGAGTGAAAGTACATACACTCAGTTTTCTTTACATTGATAGTCAAATGATTATTTTTCAACCAGTCATGTAAGAACTGAAGATCAGACAATAATTTGGAATTTATGACATTAGGATTTGAGTCAGAGAGAAAAATAACGGTATCATCAGCATACAGTAAGCATTTTGAATATTTGCACACTTGAGGAAGATCATTGATGTATAAAAGAAAAAGTAAGGGTCCAAGAATGCTGCCTTGTGGAACACCCATATCACAGACTAAAGGTTGGGATGTTGCATGATCAATTTTGACAACTTGCGACCTGTTTCTCAGATAAGAAGAAAGCATTTCAATCACAGATGGAGACAGTTTAAATGAGTGAAGTTTGTTAAGCAGGATTTGATGGTTCACGGTGTCAAAAGCTTTACGATAATCAATAAAAATAGCTCCAGTGATGTGACCTTTGTCCAGAGACCTTTGTTAAGAGAGTCACGTACTTGTTCATTGAGAAGTAGTAATGCTGACATGGTTGATCGTTTAGCTCGAAAACCATGTTGGCAGTCACTGAGCCAGTTGTTAGCTTCAAAGTAAGAACTAAGCTGGTTATACAAGGCTTTTTCAAGCAACTTAGACATAACTGGAAGTATTGCTATAGGTCTGTAGTTTGAAACAAGAGTAGGATCATCAGATTTAAAAGTTGGTGTGATTTGCGATGACCCAGACTTTGATGGAATTTGCGTTGACGTGGATATTCTGGGGCTGGTGAATTGTTTGTTTATTGTCCATGACCATTTGTTTGTTGTCCATGGCAGACGGCTTTGGTGTGTGGCCAGACAGCTCAATTGGAACATGTAGAATATCAATATTGCAGCATACTTGACAAATATCAGACCCGCAAATGCCTGAATTGATGTTTGTTTGCTGCCGTAGTTCACAGCCACATGTGGCTGCTGCCGCTGCCGCCGCCATCACCTAAGCTTATTAGAAACATGCAGAGGCTTTTTAGGTCGGGTACAATCACTTCTATCTGAACCACTTCTCTTGCCCGCTTCCATCGCTGCAACACCTGTTGGTTTGACCTGATAACTGCTCTCATATCTGGCAAACCGAGGGGCGTCCAAAACGGCCGTGTGGGGGTGCCTTAAAACTGCCCTCTCCTCTTTGGTTTGAACTAATAATGAATCAATTCAAATGAACACATTTGATCTCAGCTGATGTTTGTTTGTGGATCTTCACATCTTTACAGCCACTTTTGGTCTGAACACACCATTTAGAATCCAGCAGTGCTAACAGCTATGCTAACTGTCGGTTTAGTGCTAAAAAAATACTGGAACTAATTTAAAGATGATAAATTACTCAACATAAGATGACCTGCAGTAGGAGACAAACTTTATCCACCATCACATCATTAACACTTTACCTCCATGCTGAGTGGCTGTTCACGTCTTCCTTAACAAACTGTTTTCAGGCTCTAAAACAGAGAATTGTGTTTGATTATAAGCAGCAGAGTACAGGATGTAAAGCAGTGTGTGTATCTGTGTGTTTCAGGTGTGGTCGTGTTGAGGAGGTGGATTGCAGGTGGAGTGTGTTGCTGTTCGGTGCGTCTGGACGGGAAGACAGTTCTGATCACCGGAGCAAACACCGGCATCGGCAAAGAGACGAGCAGAGACCTCGCACGCAGAGGTCAGAGTGTGTGTGATTACCCGCGTTGTGGGGACATAGACGTGTTTATACTGTGATATTTACAGTCTATGGTTTATACAGATATGATGGGTGTGTTTGATTTGTTGTAGGGGCCCGGGTGGTGATGGGTGTGTTTGATTTGTTGTAGGGGCCCGGGTGGTGACGGGTGTGTTTGATTTGTTGTAGGGGCCCGGGTGGTGACGGGTGTGTTTGATTTGTTGTAGGGGCCCGGGTGGTGACGGGTGTGTTTGATTTGTTGTAGGGGCCCGGGTGGTGACGGGTGTGTTTGATTTGTTGTAGGGGCCCGGGTGGTGATGGGTGTGTTTGATTTGTTGTTGGGGCCCGGGTGGTGACGGGTGTGTTTGATTTGTTGTAGGGGCCCGGGTGGTGATGGCGTGCAGGGACCTCACCCGAGCGGAGCAGGCGGCTGAGGAGATCCGTCGCTCGACAGGTAATGGTAACGTGGTGATCAGACACCTGGACCTGGCCTCGGTTTACTCCGTCAAACAGTTCGCTAAAGATTTCATCGACAGTGAAGACAGACTGGACATCCTCATCAACAACGCAGGTGAGCTCACCTGTCTCTCTCTACCTGTCTGTATGTTCACCTGTCTCTCTCCACCTGTCTGTCTGTTCACCTGTCTCCTCTACCTGTCTGTATGTTCACCTGTCTCTCTCCACCTGACTGTCTGTTCACCTGTCTCTCTCCACCTGTCTGCCTGTTCACTTGTCTCTCTCTACCTGTCTGTATGTTCACTTGTCTCTCTCTACCTGTCTGTATGTTCACCTGTCTCTCTCCACCTGACTGTCTGTTCACCTGTCTCTCTCCACCTGTCTGCCTGTTCACCTGTCTCTCTCTACCTGTCTGTATGTTCACTTGTCTCTCTCCACCTGTCTGCCTGTTCACCTGTCTCTCTCTACCTGTCTGCCTGTTCATCTGTCTCTCTCCACCTGACTGTCTGTTCACCTGTCTCTCTCTACCTGTCACTCTCTCTCTCTCTTCCTGTCTGTCTACTCACCTGTCTCTCTCTACCTGTCTCTCTCTCTCTCTCTCTACCTGTCTGTCTGTTCACCTGTCTCTCTCTACCTGTCTGTATGTTCACCTGTCTCTCTCCACCTGACTGTCTGTTCACCTGTCTCTCTCTACCTGTCACTCTCTCTCTCTCTTCCTGTCTGTCTACTCACCTGTCTCTCTCTACCTGTCTCTCTCTCTCTCTCTCTCTCTCTCTCTACCTGTCTGTCTGTTCACCTGTCTCTCTCGACCTGTCTGTCTGTTCACCTGTCTCTCTCTACCTGTCTTTCTCTCTCTCTCTCTACCTGTCAGTCTGTTCACCTGTCTCTCTCTACCTGTCTCTCTCTCTCCACCTGTCTGTCTGTTCACCTGTCTCTCTCTACCTGTTTCTCTGTCTCTCTACCTGTCTGTCTGTTCACTTGTCTCTCTCTACCTGTCTCTCACTCTCGCCACCTGTCTGTTCACCTGTCTCTCTCTCTCTCTCCACCTGACTGTCTGTTCACCTGTCTCTCTCTACCTGTCTCTCGCTCTCTCTCTACCTGTCTGTATGTTCACCTGTCTCTCTCCACCTGACTGTTTGTTCACCTGTCTCTCTCCACCTGTCTGTCTGTTCACCTGTCTCTCTCTACCTGTCTGTATGTTCACCTGTCTCTCTCTACCTGTCTGTATGTTCACCTGTCTCTCTCCACCTGACTGTCTGTTCACCTGTCTCTCTCCACCTGTCTGTCTGTTCACTTGTCTCTCTCTACCTGTCTCTCACTCTCACCACCTGTCTGTTCACCTGTCTCTCTCTCTCTCCACCTGACTGTCTGTTCACCTGTCTCTCTCTACCTGTCTCTCTCTCTCTCTCTACCTGTCTGTCTGTTCACCTGTCTCTCTCTACCTGTCTCTCTCTCTCTCTCTACCTGTCTGTCTGTTCACCTGTCTCTCTCTACCTGTCTCTCTATATCTCTCTCTACCTGTCTGTCTGCTCACCTGTCTCTCTCTACCTGTCTGACTGTTCACCTGTCTCTCTCTACCTGTCTCTCTCTCTACCTGTCTCTCTCTACCTGTCTCTCTCTCTCTCTCTACCTGTCTGACTGTTCACCTGTCTCTCTCTACCTGTCTCTCTCTCTACCTGTCTGTCTGTTCACCTGTCTCTCTCTACCTGTCTCTCTCTCTCTTCCTGTCTGTCTCTCTACCTGTCTCTCTCTCTCTCTATCTGTCTGTCTGTTCACCTGTCTCTCTCTCTCTCCACCTGTCTGCAGGAGTGATGATGTGTCCAAAATGGCTGACGGAGGACGGTTTTGAGACTCAGCTGGCTGTCAATCATCTAGGTCACTTCCTGCTGACCAATATGCTGCTTCCTATGCTGATTAGCTCCGCCCCCAGCCGTGTGGTCACTGTGTCCTCCATCGCCCACAAAGGGGGTATGACCTCTGACCTCTGACCTCTGATGTGTCTCTGTGATGTTTTTAGTCTTGTTTGTTTGTTGTGACACATTTGATATGTTTTTGTTTTCCTGATTCCTCAGGTCGTATCGACCTTGACGACCTGTTCTTCACCACGAGGCCGTACAGCCCTCTGGAGAGTTACAAACAGAGCAAACTGGCTAACGTCCTGTTCTCCAGAGAACTCGCCCAACGACTCAAAGGTCCAGACAAACACTCACAGGTCTCCATCAGAGACTCTTTCCAGATGTTTCCATCCTCTGGAGAAGGAGGGGTATTAGCAAGCGTTCAGTTATCAACGCTAAACAGACTGTGCTCATGGCTAGTTTGTTAGCTGCTAATGAGCTAGTTAACCACAGAATGAGATCCTGTTTATGCTGGTTGCTTAGCACAGTCATTTATGCATATGGTGAAAATCTAACAACAATCCTGAATCCAAAACATGAGCCTCCGCAAACTAATAAACATATGACAAACAATAAACGAGCTAACAATCCAGGTATGGTTCTTACAGACTCGGATAGCTGCTAACTGTTGCTAACATGTAAATAAATAAAGTTCTAATGTGTCTGGTTGTAAAAAGTTGAGCTCAGACAGGACAGACTGTAAGTCCAATAAAGCTCACAGAGAGACAGATTATTAGTCTGATATCTACAGGAACAAATCTTCAGAAGACTCCAATACCACAAACACGACCCAGAGGTCAAAGGTCAGGGACTGAATTAGCTGAGGTGACACCTAGCAGACAGCTAGCAGCTCCCAACTGTCACTCACAGAGGCCACGCCCCCTAATATTACATCACTTTAAGCTTTGATATAATGTTAAGAAGTGAGTTGTATAAACATTCAGCCCGAACAGTTGAAGAGAGAAATGAACTCTAGAGACCCAAACAGTTTTTTTACCAGGATGTAAACATGTTTATTTTAATATGGAGCTCTATGGGGACTGACTCACTGCAGGAGACAGACTCTAGTGGACACTGGAGGAACTGCAGCTGTAAAGTTAGACATTTGAACATGGGGCTCTATGGGGATTGACTCACTGCAGGAGACAGACTCTAGTGGACACTGGAGGAACTGCAGCTGTAAAGTTGGAGATTTTAACATAGAGCTCTATGGGGACTGACTCACTACAGGAGAGAGTAGTAATAACAGATCAGGGAACCTGTTGTTTCTTCTTCCTGTTTGTGTGTGACCTTAATGTTTTTCTGAATTCTCTTCAGGCTCTGGTGTGTCGTCGTTTTGTCTCCACCCTGGTGTGATCTACACAGATCTGGGGCGTCACGTTCACAGCTGGTTCCCTTTGTTGGGGACTCTGCTGAGCCTTCCCTCCCTGATGCTCATGAAGACTCCCCGGCAGGGCAGTCAGACCACGCTGTACTGTGCCCTGACCCCGGGCCTGGAGGGGCTGTCTGGACGTTACTTCAGGTAAAGATGATGACCTGGTCCTCTGTCACTCGCAGTCAGAACTAAGGCTGTCAAATTGTTTGATCCTTTTTGACAGGGCTTTCTCTGTTGCTGCTCCCACCCTCTGAAACTCACTCCCAAAAAACATCAGAGACTCCCCCACACTCACCTCCTTCAAGAAATCCCTCAAAACTCACCTCTTCAACCACTAACTCCCCCCTCCCCCTACATTACCTCTTCATTGTACTGTCCTCGTCGTTTTTTGTTTCGTTTTATGGTTTTATTTTTTGTCAAAGCGTCTTTGGGTTCCTAGAAAAGCGCTATAAAAAACAATATATTATTATTATTATTATTATTTGATACCACATGTTCAAAAAGCATCAAAAAGTGCAAAAGCTTTAAAACAAACTACATCATTCCAAAAGACAGCTGTGTAGAGGAAGAATTAATCCATCAACATTAAAAGCAAGTGTGCACGAGTTTGTCTGCAATTTTTGATCATTCAGAACGAGAAATCGCTCAATAAAGAGCGTAAAAGATTAAAAATCTAGTATCATGACAACATTAGAACTCAAAGAGTTTGTTTTTAAAGTCAGTCAGTGTGACGTCCTCATAAACCACATAAACCTGTTTATTTGTGGTTTCAGTGACTGTGCAGAGAAGGAAACGGCTCCAGAGGGACGCGACGACGTGGTGGCGAGAAAGCTGTGGGAGCAGAGCGCCCGACTGGTCGGATTAAAAGACACATGCTGACCTCTGACCTTTAGATCGTTACGTAATGAAAGTAGGAACTCACTATGACATCTGTTTAGAATGTGATTTAAAAATAACTTTTATTTTCTTGGTGTAATTTGTGTGAGAACGTGGTGCCGAATTGGACGATGTTTTACTGTTGACCTTTGACCTGCAGGGATGTCACAGCTTTTTTGTGCAAACTGAAATAAAGTTTAAACTGAGTGTTTTTTTTTAATGGTTTCCTGCTTTGAAATGAGTTTAAGATCATCAGAACACAAAGTGAGCACAGCATGAAAACCACGGCTGTGTAGAAACACAGTTAAATACATGTATGATTGTTGTATCAGTAACCTTCTCTGTGTTTCCTGACATGTTAGGGCTCTAAGGGCGCGGTCACACTGGTCATCTGTACCGTGCTGTACCCAAGCACGATTGCCCCCCCACTGCGCCATTCCTACGCTGGCCGGCACAGCCCGCGGTCATACTGGCCAGAACTAACCGTGCCTAAGCACGATTACCTCTTGTACATAACGTCGTAATACAACACATGCACGCTTTATGTTATTATGAAGCGTGCTCAGTTTTCAAACAAGCGGACGAGAGAGAGCGAAAGAGAAAAAGAGAGAGAGAGACAGAGAGAGAGAGAGAGAGAGAGAGAGAGAGAGAGAGAGAGAGAAAGAGAGAGAGAGAGAGAGAGACAGAGAGAGAGAGAGAGAAGAGAGAGAGAGAGAGAGAGAGAGAGAGAGAGAGAGAAAGAGAAAGAGAGAGAGAGAGACAGAGAGAGAGAGAGAGAAAGAGACGCGCAATCGAGTCCGTGTCTGCACATCGGAGAACAACACTGAGCATGACAGCTACTTTACTGACTTTACAGCTTATTTTAAGCCATTTTAATCAGACACAGCAATAAATAAATAAAAAAATAAAATAGACACGCAGCTGAGTCCGCGCGGACGCCCGAACATCAGAGAAAAACACAGAGAACAACATGACAGGTACTTTGTGTCTTACATTGTGTCATGTTAGTCAGATACAGACATGAAACTCTGGATTTCTCCAGAATGAAGGCTGTCAGCGTTGTTTACCCGCGTGCTTGTGCTCGTGCATGAAGTGTACCGTGCTGAAGCACACCTCTCCGAAGTGTGCCAAAGCCAAGTCCTTCCGGACTCACTGATCTCAGAGCAGCTCTGTGTGGGGGATAATCTGCTCTAATCTGTCTTGATTAGATCTGTCCCCCCCCCTCCCCGCGCTCTGGTCCGGCCCGGCTCGGCCTGGCTCGGCCCCTCATCAGTCCACTCTGACCTGCAGGGATGAAGTCTTCAGCTCTTGGAGGATTCCTGGTGCAGCCGTGGCCCGGCAGCGACGCCCCGAGCTCGGACCCTGGGCCAGGGGAGGAGGGGTGGGTGGGTCTGCTGCTGAAGTGTGGAGCTCTGCTGGGAGTCACTTTGATCTGTAAGATTTACTTTCATTCGCATTGACCTGCAGAGAGTTTGAGTTTCTCTGCAGGATTTATTGATTCTTCATGTTTGAGTCTCTGAGAGATTAAACTCTTAAATGACCAGATTAAAGCTGTTTCAATGCTTTCATACTTTCTGATAACACGTGTTTTAAAACCATACAACCTCATGTTAATGATTCTAAACAAGTGTCAAAGCTTTGAAAAGAAACCTCGATTTTATCAGACAGTAGGAGAGGAACCGATCCAAACAAACTCACTGACTCAGAAACATTTCCACACATTTGCAATGTTGAATTCAGAAAGTGTGCAGGAATGTGTTTGCAGCTTTTGTTGATTCATGAACAGAAACTGTCCATCACTTCTCTTTCTGTTGGCCTGATATCAAACAGGTATAGTAGTTTATTTGCTATTATCATGTTGAAGTTTGAAATGATGGAATCATGACGAGCCTGAAGTAGATCAAACACAGTGTGTGCATGTGTGTGTGCATGTGTGTGTGTGTGCATGTGTGTGTGTGTGCAGTGCAGAGGTAATCTTCTACATGTTACCTAACTCTGTCCTGAATCATCCAGCGGTCTGATAATCAAATTAACAAAATGGAGGACGGTCAAATAATTAGAAACACTTCTAAGTTTGTGTCCAGGGGTGGCTGTGGGTCAGTGATCATCTCTGAGCTGGAGGGTTCAATCCCCAGCAGCTGCAACCACATGTCCAACATACTGATGGACTCTTTACTCAGCAGCCTCTACCATCAGTGTGTGAATGTGTAGGTATGACTTTAAATGTGCTTTAAATAGAGAAGACTGGAAAAGCGCTCTACAAGCTCAAGTCCATTTATCCACACTGACAAATGTTTAAATCCAGTGATTATGAAGGATTGACTCAGCTCCACATTCTGCTGACTCTTCTTTAAGCTCTCGGTTGTGTCTATTTGTCTCAATATAAAAAGGTGTAGTATAGAAATGCTGACTTTAACAAACGGCCACTGAGTCACGACTCCAGTTTGGTTTCATACTCTGGTAATAACAAAGTCCGGTGTAACACTGCTGAAATTGGACAACAGCATCTGTCATTCAAATCCCCTGAGCCAATTGGATGCAGTCTGCAGCCTCTACCCCCTTTCCCCAGGTGAACTAATCACCTAATTGAAACCAATCAAGCAGTCAGCCAGAAGGCAGCAGGACACTGTCGCCCTTTCCGAATTGTCACAGTTCAGTAGTCAGTACTTTTCAGTAGGAGTTTCAGTATACTGAACTTTGGTGGTCATTCAGTGGTCATTTATTGAGTCCACCTCAGTATACTGAACATTTCAGTATGGATATTAACTTCCGGGTTTCATGCAGTATGGATCGGATGAATCCTTTCAGGACATGAATTGTATTTTAACTCCCACAATGCAGTGCGAAATTAAACGTAAATCGGCACGTCACGTCCGCCTCCAAATCAAAACAAACGAGCGTGGATTAATTTAATCAATTTTTAATCTAGAGTTTAAAGTCCTGACTGAAATCACTACTTTAAATTAACAACAGAAAATATAACAAATGTCTGCATTATTATAAAACCTTTCCCCCTCTATTTAAATAATGATTTAACTATTTAAATAATGAGTTCACTATTTAAATAATGATTTCACTATTTAAATGTGTCTTTATTGGTTTTTTTAACTTCATATTCTGTATATTACTGTCTTTCATTTGTTCTTGAAAACAGACACTTTTTTAGAACTTTAGCTATTGTGAACGTACAAAAGTAGATACATAGATTAAATATCCCATGTATTGAGACTCTCGTCTCGAGCGGTAAGCCCGAGTTCGCTTCCACCCATGGCCCCTTTCCACATGTCATTCCCCGCTCTCTCTCCCTGGTTTCTAACTCTATCCACTGTCCTGTCTCTGCATTAAAGGCACGAAAAAATAAATCTTTAAAAAAAAAAGAAAAGAATTGGGAATATTTAGCATATGTTGTATGGAGGGTAAAAGGTGCCCTTCAGAATCTGTGAATTTTCTTTTATTTAATTGTGGGATTTTCCTTGATTAATTTCAAGTGTTTTTTGTTATTTGTTAAAAATAGAACTTTAAAATACAAAACCGGTTACCAACATTCTGTGTCGTGTGTTTAATTAATTCTCCACCAGCTCCAAGAGTCTAACGTACATTAGCCCGGTACACATTAAGTTGTTATTATTTAGAAATACATTTATTTAACTAAATTTTGTATCCTGAGTGTTACACCAGGTTCACCTTTCTGTTTATTTATTCCACATCAAAGAAAAAACAACAAACATTTGACACTGCATCTCATTGACCTGTTGTTGTCTCACTTCACCTAAAAACCTTTCTGTGTTCTAACCTCTCTCCATTTTTCAAAAGCATCTCCAATATTGATCCTAGTTTGAGCACGTTTCTGCTCCTGGAGCTTATTAGAAACATGCAGAGGCTTTTTAGGTCGGGTACAATCACTTCTATCTGAACCACTTCTCTTGACCGCTTCCATCGCTGCAACACCTGTTGACCTGATAACTGCTCTCATATCTGACAAACCGAGGGGCGTCCAAAACGGCCGTGTTGGGGGTGCCTTAAAACTGCCCTCTCCTCTTGGTTTGAACTAATAATGAATCAATTCAAATGAACACATTTGATCTCAGCTGATGTTTGTTTGTGGATCTTCACATCTTTACAGCCACTTTTGGTCTGAACACACCATTTAGAATCCAGCAGTGCTAACAGCTATGCTAACTGTTGGTTTAAACTGTAGATTTAGTGCTAAGAAAATACTTAAAGGCTTTATATGTGATTTTTTGATCCAGCTTTTCTCTAGTCCCTCAATTAAACAACTTTTATATGTGAGGGGAGGAGTCAGCCGGCCGTCCGGGCGATGTAAACAAACTGAAGATAGGACTCTGAAAACTCTGAAAGCATCACAGACAGCTGCAGTTCACGTCTTCCTTAACAAACTGTTTTCAGGCTCTAAAACAGAGAAGTGTGTTTGATTATAAGCAGCAGAGTACAGGATGTAAAGCAGTGTGTGTATCTGTGTGTTTCAGGTGTGGTCGTGTTCAGGAGGTGGATTGCAGGTGGAGTGTGTTGCTGTTCGGTGCATCTGGCCGGGAAGACAGTTCTGATCACCGGAGCAAACGCCGGCATCGGCAAAGAGACGAGCAGAGACCTCGCACGCAGAGGTCAGAGTGTGTGTGATAGACGTGTTTATACCGTGATATTTACAGTCTATGGTTTATACAGATATGATGGGTGTGTTTGATTTGTTGTAGGGGCCCGGGTGGTGATGGCGTGCAGGGACCTCATCCGAGCGGAGCAGGCGGCTGAGGAGATCCGTCTTGCGACAGGTAATGGTAACGTAGTGATCAGACACCTGGACCTGGCCTCGGTTTACTCCGTCAAACAGTTCGCTAAAGATTTCATCGACAGTGAAGACAGACTGGACATCCTCATCAACAACGCAGGTGAGCTCACCTGTCTCTCTCTACCTGTCTGTATGTTCACCTGTCTCTCTCTACCTTTCTGTATGTTCACCTGTCTCTCTCCACCTGACTGTCTGTTCACCTGTCTCTCTCCACCTGACTGTCTCTCTCTACCTGTCTCTCTCTCTCTTCCTGTCTGTCTCTCTCTACCTGTCTCTCTCTCTCTCTATCTGTCTGTCTGTTCACCTGTCTCTCTCTCTCTCCACCTGTCTGCAGGAGTGATGATGTGTCCAAAAGGGCTGACGGAGGACGGTTTTGAGACTCAGCTGGCTGTCAATCA